GTGATATGATATGAATGACCCTGGCAGAGTGCATGGAGCAGGCCAGGCTGGAGGAGCAGAGGCTGAGGGAGGAGCAGAGGGCCCAGAGGGAGCTCCAGGCCGGGAGTGTGGCTGCTCTGTCCGTCCAGGAGCTGCTGCAGAGGATCAGCAGCCCTGGCCACCACCTGCCCTACTACACAGGGGCCATCAGCCTGCTGGCAGCAGCTGTCAGCACCGGTGAGTTTGCTGAAAAATGTTCATTTTGTTAATTGTTAATCTTGGGAGGAGGGCAGGGCAGCAGCTTTTAAAGGATGCCAGTAACTGTTCCTGGATTTCAAACACAAAACTGGCACTGTGGGTATTTCAGAGTGGCCAGGGGGTGTTCACGGCATTTTTTAGCATCAGACTGATGCTGTAGCTGAGCTGCTGGGAGTCCTTGGGGACTGGGGTCTCATTTGTTTATAAATATTTGTAATTCATAAATATTTGTAAATATTTGTAAATATTTGTAAATAAATATTTGTTTGTAAATATTCGTAATTCTCTGTTAAAGCTCATTGAGTTACAAAGCCAATTTTGTGTTTCAGCCTTCCTGAATAATATAATATAATATAATATAATATAATATAATATAATATAATATAATATTCTTTCACTTGACCCCAAAAGCGCCAGGCACGAACCAGAGCAATTTTCACCTTCAGAACCACTCCTCCTTCACTCCTTCTGGAATTTTCCCCCATTCCCCAGGATGTTTTTCCCCAGAGCTGCTCCTGCAGTGACCTTTTCTTTTAGCGCTGCCCAGGAAGAGCAGGAGCCTGCCTGGCTGTGGCCCAGCTGAGCTTGTCTGTGCTCTTGCAGGCTCTGGGCAGACGTTCTTCAGGACAAACAATGGCTTCAGTATCCTGAGCAGCGAGGCTGTCAGAGGGTGAGAGCTCTCCCAGGGCCACACCAGCCCCGGGAAATGCAATATTGTTTTCAAGAAACAGAATCAGCCCTTGGGATGCAGATGGGCTGATCAGAGGAGGGTGGGATGCCAGATTTCGGTGTGTGAATGGAGGCACTTGTACCTGAGCGTGGCACAGACAGGGCTGCCTCAGATGAGGGAGGAGAATCCCTGGGCTGCTGTTTGTGTCTGTGTGTCTGGGCAGTTATCCTATCCCTGGTGCTGAGAGCAGCTCTGCAGCAAAATCTGAGTGGGAAAGAGCAGCTGAAGGCTCTGGCTGCAGCCCCTGGAGCTGGGCTTGGGCACCAGGATGCCCTGGCACTTTTCATGTTCCACATTTTGGGTTTTTTAGTCCATCCATATTTTGGGTGGTGGCTGCAGACAGACCTGAGGAGTGCAGCATGTACAAATTCCCATTCCCTGGATATTTCCCACAGTTTGAGCCACCCTTTGCTCTGTTCAAAGCTGACTTTTCTCATCCAGGGCCTTCTGTGCAGAGAGCAAAAGCCCTGCTGAGGAGGAGCTCTGTGTTTCCCTCCTGCTCCTGTGGCAAGCTGCCTGTGCTGGCAATGGTAAAGCCCTGGCATCCCCCTGATCCCTGTTAATTAATGAGGGATTCATTTGGCATTTCTGGGCTGGGCATGGCCACCCCTCTCCCACAGCACCTGCATCCATCCAGGCATGCTTGGAACCCAAATTTTGCAGGTCAGAGGAGGTGTTGGGTGCAGGATGGAATTTCCACTCTCTGAGCATTTCCAGTCCACACAAGGGGTGGGAAGTAAATCCCCTGTGATTTTTGCTGCTCCTGAGATAATACCCCTTGCACAGTTTTCTCTGTTTGAAGCAGTTACACCTGCAAAAAGCAGAGTTTTACAGGAGAGAAGGCTGAATTTATTTAGAATTATCAATCAATAGAGCTTGGGCAGGTACCTGCCTCTGTTTTTAGGGTGAGAAATGGGCTGGGGTGGGTGGTAAAGTGTGACGGTGGCCACAGGGGGATTAGGATGAGGGAAGGACGTAGATCTGACTCCATGTTTCAGAAGGCTTGATTTATTATTTAATGATATATATTACATTAAAACTACACTAAAAGAATAGAAGAAAAGGTTCTCAGAAGGCTAGCTAAGAATAGAATAGGAAAGAAAGAGTGATAACAAAAGGCAGCTGTCTCGGAGACAGCTGGGCCTTGATTGGCCATTAATTATAAACATCTAAGATGGGCTAATCTAGAAATCTACTGTTGCATTCCACAGCGGCAGATAACCATTGCTTACATTTTGTTCCTGAGGCCTCTCAGCTTCTCAGGAAGAAAAAATCCTAAGGGAAGGATTTTACATGAAAAGATGTCTGCGACAGTAAAGTGGAAATGCAGAATATTGTACTGACTTGTGGAGTTCAGCTGTTAAAATAAAATATTCATGCTGAAAAAAAAAATAAAATAAATGAGTGACACAGTGATATTTTCTGTCCCTTTCCAGAGGAAAATCAGCGTGTGCTGCTGGCGCAGCCCGAGGTGGGTGCCCAGCTGCCAGAGCTGCTGTCCCGTGGCACTGCCCAGATCCAGAGGGAGGCCCTGGCACTGATCTCCCTCTACTCCGAGCACGAGGGGGGCCGCAGGCTGCTGGGCAGGCAGGACCTGAGCAGGTGAGACAGCAGGGAAAGGTCCTGGCAGGGCTCAGGGGAAGGGGACTCGGGGTGCCCTCAGCAACTTCCCAAAGGTTGGGCTCTGTCTGCAGGCACTGACACAGCCTTAGCTGTGCCAAGGGAAATACAGGCTGGATATCAGGGAAAAGTGTTTTACAGCAAGGTGATAAAGTTCTGGACTGTTCTGCCCAGGGAGGTGGTGGAGTCCCCATCCCTGATGTGTTTCAAACAAGGCTGGATGTGGCAGTGGATGCCAGGGTTTAGGTGAGGTGCTAGGCATGGGTTGGACTTGATGGTGTTGAAGGTCTCTTCCAACCTGGTCATTCTGTGAATTCTCTGAATTCTGTGACTTCTGTGAATTTCAGGGAATTTTGGGAATGCCCAGGAACTGGGAATGGTGGAGTCGCCATCCCTGATGTGTTTAACAAAGCCTGCATGTGGCACTGGGTGTCAGGGTTTCAGTGAGGTTTTGTTGGGGCTGAGTTGGACTTGATGCTCTTTGAGGTCTCTCCCAACCTGGTCATTCTGTGATTCTGTGAATTCCTGAGGGGACACAGTGGCACTGAGGCTTCTGCTGGACGGCCTGGCAGAAGTGGGAGTTGGATGTTCTGATGGCTGAAATAAAGGATTTAAATGAATTCCTGTAATTTGGAGTCCCCTCCTCCAAACCCCTGTAGCACTCAGGCAGATCTCACCCTGTGCCTGAAAAATCTCCTGGGTTGCAGCTCAGAGTCTCTCCTCATTTAAAAATTGGGATTTGGGGTTATTTAGTGTTGCCATGGCTCAGTGGGTGGGGAGGAAACCCCATTGCCTTTGTCCCTTGTCCTGCTGCTTCCTCCTTCTGAGAAATGTCCATTTACTGCTTTGGACTAATAATGGATGGTTATTCTCCATTTTCCTGGGGGGGAAAGTGAAAGGAATGAGCCACATCTCAGAGGGTGCTCAAAGAAGGAAGATTTAACTGTGGCTTCAAATACCAACAACCTAAAAAAACACAATTTTGATCTTTAATGATTAAACCAAGGCTGACACCAATTTTTGCTTGTTTTTTATACTGTTTTAACACCAGATGGCTGCAGATTTTGATGGCATTTGTCAAGTGCACTGATGCAAGGGCTGAGAGTGCCATGAACATCCTGTCTGACTTAAGTGGGGAGGAAAGGTAATTTATTTCAATTCCTCATTCATTTCTCTGAAGCTGTGCTGTGAGCTGTGTGAAATGAGCCAGGGACAGCCTGTTGGCCACCTCTGCTGTGAGCTACTGAGGTTTCCATTGCTCTTCTCTTGCTTTTAGCTGTGTTTTTTGACTAAAACTTTGGTTTTTTTATCCCCCAACAGGTTCCAAGCCCAGTGTCGGGCCACGTTCTCCACGGCTGTTTCACCTTTATTCACCCAGCTGCTGGTAGGGAAGAGCTGGTTTTGGATTTCCAGTTTATTTTTGTGTATCCTGGGCAAAGGGAATTTTCCAGAAAATGTGACTGTGACACCTTGGGCAGCTGGGGTTTACCAGAGAGCGCCTGGAGTGCCACAGGGGTGGCACACACACACACAGAGTGCTGTTTGGGGCTGGTCCTGCCTTGAAGATAAAATGAAAATGAGGGAAATCTGCAAACTTTGGGCACCTGGGGTTTACCAGAGAGCGCCTGGAGTGCCACAGGGGTGGCACACACACACACAGTGCTGTTTGCTGGTGGTTTGTGTTGATTTTGCCTTGAAGATAAAGTGAAAATGAGGGAAATCTGCAAACTTTGGGCACCTGGGGTTGAGCAGAGAACTCCTGGAGTGCCATTCCCCATGGCCACAGGGGTGGCACACACACAGTGCTTTTTGGGGCTGATTCTGCCTTGAAGATAAAGTGAAAATAATGGAAACCTGCAAACTTTGGGCAACTGGGGTTTATCAGAGACCTCCTGGAGTTGCCAGAGGGGTGGCACGCACCCAGATGTGCTGTTTGCTGGTTTGTTGATTGATTTGTTGTTGTTGTTGATTTTCCTGTAATTGCTGTGATTCCTGAATTGCTGCGTTCACAGGTGTGTGCCAGGCAGGTGTGTGCCAGGCAGGTGCCCTGGGCAGCCCTGGAGTGCCAGGGGGGTGGCACACACACCCAGATGTGCTGTTTGCTGGTTTGTGCTGATTTCCCTTGCCTTGCTGTGTTCACAGGTGTGTGCCAGGCAGGTG